CCTCCTCCGCCTCGCGCTGCTCTACAGGTACGGCGGCATCTACCTCGATGCCGACGTCGTCGTCCTCAGGCCGCTCTCCGACCTCCGCAACGCCATTGGAGCGCAGGCCGTGGACAAGGCCACGGGCGACTGGAGGCGACTGAACAACGCCGTGATGGTGTTCGACAGGGCACACCCGCTGCTGCACGAGTTCATCGCCGAGTTCGCCGCCGCATTCGACGGGAGCAAGTGGGGCCACAACGGGCCGTACCTTGTGTCCCGGGTGGCGGCGAGGCTACGTCACGGGAGCCCGGATCTCGCCTTCACGGTGCTGCCGCCGCGGGCCTTCTACCCCGTGCACTGGAGCAAGATCGGCGGACTGTTCGTTGCACCCAAGGATAGGAAAGACAAGAGGTGGGTGAAGGCCAAGGTGGAGAACATCAAAGGCGAGAGCTTTGGCATCCATCTTTGGAACAGGGAGAGCAGTAGGCTGGAAATGGAGGAGGGGAGTGTTATTGGGACGTTGATTTCACACAGTTGCCTGTTCTGCAATTCTTCCATGTTTGTAAAGCAAGGATAGAGGATAGCAGGAGATTCTGCACATTTGCAGCTGATGAAGTGAGATATTGGTATTTTGTGAGATGAAGCATGTACATCTTACCTGAAGGAATTTGAATGACATATAGTACAGAATTTTTTAACTTCGAAGTATCAGAAACTATCTTACTGATTGACAAGCTACTTCAGGGGAGTGCCAGTTATAAATTATAATAGTTGTAGGTGTTCTGATTGAACTATCCCAACGGGACCTGTGGGAATATGAATATGGTCATCAAGTAGCCACTTTGACAGGATCAGAAGATGGTATGACAAACCAGAAGATCCGACAAGACTCAAGAGTACATGCTTTCTCAACTTTACATTCATCAAACACTGTTGTTTTTCGTCCACGAGAGGGGGGAAAAAGAATCTTAGCGAAAAAATTATGTATATATCTGCGCACGTAAAGAAACATCACAAACTAATAGAACAGAGCCTGCAAAGTCAACGAAGAACATATGTAACTCTGAAGGCTATCCTAACATGTCATGGTTTTGAATGGGTTGGAGCATCAGATACCATGCGAACAATATTCTGCAAATAGCAACTAACACTCATTTTAGTGCTATAAAAAATGTACTTTGTAGAAAAACTTTTGCGAGTATATTCTTTCCATGGGAGAAACAACAGATCAGATGTAAGATCATACATGACCGACCGCCTCCCAGTAAAATCATTGACATTTTAGACTAACATCACAATTAATCTTCTATGTTGCACCTATGCCTATCAAGCTTCTCTGTTCTCAGATCGGTCGTGGCTCGGTGTGGCCAGACCATTTTTGAAACCAAAGTTCAGAATCCAGCTGGTCGGGTTGGCTCGTCATTGAAACATGGAGCTAATAAGAAGTTTATTGTTACTACAAATATCAACCAAGAGGCCCAGACTTCTTGTTACTCGGTATTAAATGCTGTGTATCCTCAAGCTCAATTTCACCTCCTCCCCATTCATCCCCACTTTCGAACATCATTTCAATCTGCTCCAGTGTTTTCCCTTTTGTTTCTGGCACACAAAAGTACACAAACAGTACAGAGATAGTGGATATTGCAGCAAAGACGAAGAACATTCCTGCCACTGATATAGCACGGGCCATAGAAAGGAATGACATGGAAACCAAACCACTGCTCACTCTACCACCTACTTGACCAAGTGCTGACCCTTGAGCTCGTAATCTTAAAGGAAATACCTCTGAAGACAAGACCCAACATATTGGTCCCATGCCAATTGAAAAGAATGCCACATTGCCACAAACTGCAAAAATTGCTAGGTCGATACCAACACGTGGAGACATAAGCCCCATGGCACGCTTTTGCAGTGTGAGTGCAACCCCTAAGAGAAATAAGCAGATAGTCATGCCAATGGTGCTCACATAAAGAAGTGGCTTTCGTCCAACTTTATCAATTAGGAAAATTGCAACCAAGATGAACACTGTCTTAGTGAAACCCACGGCAACAGTTGCAGCAAGAAGCTCCTGATCAGACTTGATCCCAGCATCTTTGAAAATTGTTGGGCTGTAATAGACAGTAGCATCAATTCCTGTGATCTGTTGGAACAATTGAATACCGCAGCCAGCATACAGCATCCGACGAACGGCGGGAGAAGGGTTCAAAAGTTCCCTCCACACTTCTTTGTCTTCAGATTTCATTGATTTCATAAGACCAGCAGCTTCCTCGATCTCAGCCAGCCGTTCTTCAACTTCAGCTTCAGACTCGCTAATCTGCAGCAGCACTGCCCTTGCTTCTGAAACTTTCTTCTCCATCATCAACCACCTAGGGGACTCTGGGATCACGAAAAGCGCAAAGCCAATGAAGACTGACGGGAGGATACCGACACCAAGCATAATCCTCCAATTGATGTGCTCAGAAAGGCCTGAGAAGGCATAATTGGAAACATAGCCAAGGAGGATCCCAAAATTGATGCAGATCTCAGGAAGTGATGTGAGAGTCCCACGGGCGCCTGCGGGGGAGATCTCAGCAATGTACACTCCAGATACCATGGCACCAAAGCCAATGCCAACTCCAGCAAGGAGCCTCCCGATCATAAGCACAGTGAATGATGGAGCAAATGTCATGATGGCTGCACCTATCTGGAACACAATTGCACCGAGGCCCATTGTCCATTTTCTGCCAATTGCATCAGATGTTCGTCCCCCTGATAGGCTTCCCAAGAGTGAGACCACGCTCAGACAGCCTACTAGGATTTCTTGCTGAAACTCGGTTATGTGGAGATCTTTCTGCATGTAGATGATTGCGCCACTCATTACGCCAACATCTGCAGACGAAAACACGAATTGTGGATCACCAAAACGTTACACAGCAAGAAGAATTGATTTCTGAGTATCGTGATTGTCAGCAGACATGGAAAACTCAATTAGCCTGGTTTCAGATGCTGGTTTGCACAACCAGGACAAGGAGAAGCCAAGATCCTACAGTAGTACAGTACTTGTGAAACATAGAGAAAATGACAAACTAAGAGGATCTCAAACTCAGGTCATGTGAAAGTTTGTTGCTTGCAATCACCAAAAGCCTCCCTATAGTTGCTAGTAGCGTAAGAACGAATCTAACTGTTGTCTCGTGGAAGGCATGAAAAGCGTTTCCATCAGACCAGGCTGCAAATTGCTATCGCTGTCGGAATCACGCTTCGATTCAATGATAGACCGGGTAAAAATAAATTGCCAACAAAAAAAAATGCCAATTTCATCCGTAAGCTCCGCGAACTCACCGTAGCCGAGGAGGATGGCGTTGAGCGAGGCGAAGACCGCGCAGGCGTACACGAACCGCTCCCTTCTCCTCCTCTCGCTCTCGGGTGCCGACGGCCTCCTCCACCCCTCCGTCCCCATGTCCGGCTCCGGCTCCTCGCTCCGATCAAGAACCGCGTACTTGTTCCTGCCGCCATTGGCCGCGGCGCCGGCGTCCGCCATCGCCTTGCTCCGCGCTCCCGGCCGCTACCCGGTGGAGTTTCCTCGCCGCTGGTTGGTGTTCGTTCCGGAGATCATCAGTGGCCCGCGCCCCCGAGCCCCCTAAAATCCAATGAAGCGCGAGGAAGGTGGGAGGATGTCGATGTGGTGTTGGTGTTCTTGCTCCGTTTCGCTCTCCCGTTTGCCAATTTCTTTTATTTTTTTGAAAGGTCTTTGTTTCCATTTCTTATCGAGGAAATCCTCAGGACTACAAATCCTTTTCAAGAAAATCCCTTCTTGCACGATGCAGCAGAGTAGCAGGGACCAAACTGGAATTTGGAGAACTTTCAAGGCTAACCTTGGTAGTCCATGATTTTGTCTGGGTCATACTCGGTTTTGACGTAGAAAAATGTTGGAAGCACGACTTGGACGAGATATGCCGTGTCACCACCTCTCCCGTCCTTCACGGAAGGTGTGTCACTGTTTAAAATGGCAACGGGTTCCCGAAACTCGAGTACCCGACGATTTTTACCCGATAAGGAGGCGGGTATGGAAGACATTTTGCACCCGCGGATACGTTATTGGACGAATTCTTGTACCCATCAGGTACGTGGGTACGGGTGTGGGTGTATACTACCCATACCCCCATACCCGCGGGTAAAAAAAACCCGCATAAATAATATCCAACCTCTGCAATTTTAGCCCATATAAGCATATAGCCCATATTTGCCCATATAAGCATATGAGTATATATATTCCAGAACTCCCTCAAACCCTAATCTCCATATAAGCATATTTGGAATGAACCAATGAGGCATCTGATCTATTTCAACTAGCTTGATCCGGATATATTTCTGTTTTGCTGCTCTATTGTTGATTTGTTTTGCTGGAAGTTATTATATTTTGGTGTGTGAACTCGGGTATATTATTGGGTGCGGGTTACCCGTCGGGTAAGAATTACCCATCGGGTGCGGGTATGGAATGAATTTTCTACCCGCCTGCAGGTACGGGTAACCCGACGGGTAAAATTTTGATCTGACGGGTGCGGGTACGGGTGGCCAGTACCCATCGGGTACGTACCCGTTGCCATCTTTAGTCACTGTCGCATTGGCACTACTATATGTTACTATTATTAAGGGCTAAATGATGATGCTTGATTGTGGAAAATGGGATGGTTTAGCGCCTTAAGATCTACCGTGCGGCAACACGTACAAGATAGACAGGTAATCTGGTGAAAATTAAAGGCAGTGTGGTAAATAAACTGGTATAGCAGTACACAGTAACTTGGGTTTGTGTGTTTGTGATTGTCCCTGATAGAACGTAACTACTACTAATATCTTTTCAGCTGTCTCCTTTGGATGTCGCTTTCATTCGAAGTCTAAGCAAAGACATGGCGGTTTGGACTAATCAATCCTCGAGTACGAACGGGAAAACGAAAAATATCAGAAAGCTCCCCGGTCCACGTCATGACTGTAGATGTCCCCAACTCCCCCATTCCCATACGATTCCTTTGAGCGCGTTCTTTTCAGAAACATCGCCTCTCGCCTGAATTTGCCGAACACGGGCAGCAGTACGTCAAAACAGTCTGGTGAAGCTACTATACCTTGGTTCTTCTTCCTTTGTGTCTTTGTTGAAGATGGTTTGGTCTTGTAACTAGTCTCAAATGTAGTTGTTGTTAGCAGTTAGCGCACGAGCGCAAGGTTATTAGCAGCTGGAGGTTGCGGGCAGGAAAGCAGAAGACAACGGGCAGTCTCTTGGCATGGAACGGGTCAAACAACCGGCAGCTGGCCTGTTTGGACTTTGGAGCTTGTTGTTTGGAGTTTGGACCTCCCTATGCGCCCATGCTAAGCTCCTGCGACGAAGACGGGTGTCCAAACTGACTCGAGAGTTCACCGATCGTCACACCCGACATCAGAAATGGATGGCTTCATTTCAATGGTTGGTTTGCAGTTAAGAAGCAAAAGGATGATCCTATACCATGATCTATTCGTTGAATTCCAGCGTGCAAAAAATTGAATTTCGTCCTCCCTCCCACTGTCCGCCATGGGAGAGACGGAAAGAAAACGATGGCAATTTGCAGTCCATGCAGGAGGAGAGAGAGACCAGGGAGGAGCATGGACTGACCGTAACCGAGGAGGATGGCGTTGAGGGACGCGAAGAGCGCGCAGCTGAAGGCGTAGCGCTGGCCCCGCCTGCGCCGCTGCCTCTGCGCCTCGGCACGGTGCGCCCACTCCGCCTCGTCCACCTCCTCCCCCTCCTCGCCCACCTCCATCCTCCTGTACTCCCGCTTCGTCGCCATTGCCGTCCTCATCTTCACCGACTCCATGATCGTCCCCTCCGCCGGCTCCAGCTCTCCGGCGCTGTGCTTGTATACCTACCTAGCCTTCAAGCTTGCCCACAACTGCTACTGCTAACTACTACGATGAGACCTGCATATCATCTCCTGCTCTTCAGATCTGACGCGAGGGGCTCCAAATGTGGCTTTATTAGCATTTGCACGCTCCGGTTCATCGCACAAGAAATGGTTACTCAAGGACCTCTGGAGCTTATTTTAGAGCCGCCTCCACGTTCACGGCAGGCCGTCATCTTTGTCTTCATATAATTCTATGGCCCGTTCGCGTGCCCTTAAACCCGGCTTCATCCGTTTCTTTTTTTATCCGAAACAATATTTTCCTCTCACAAATTCCTCCAGAATTCCTCCAAACCATCCAAATTCGTCCAGAACCATACCATCCGAACGGACCTACGTTGCAAGTGGCACGGGTACAGCGACTTGCGAACAGATACCGGGTCTCAGAGTTGAGACTTCGCAAGTTCAGATCTGCTTGGTTCCGCTTCACGAGGACGGTTTAGATTAATAGCTAGTGGCGCCAAAGCTTTGGAGCTCAGGATGGCCATAACTTTTCAACCAAAGTACAGGATGGCATTGCAGAGTTTAGAAGGCAAAGGACCTTAAGCCTCGGTCACTTGTTTCAGCAGTCTTACACGAATCTCGGTGCCTTAAAATTTGTTTGCCATGATGCATATCAGCATATATGAAGAAAAAAATAGCACACAAGGCCGGAATGCTTAGAGAGAAACAACAAGACCAACAAACCAATATAATAGCGTGATTATGTCAAGCAAGGGGCTGCCATCCACTTATCCAGTGCAAGAACTCAGCAAGTTTGGAGGGTCAACTCACTTACTGTACACTGAAGGCATTGAAGAACAAAATGGCAGATAAAGGTTTTCTATTCAAATTTCCTTGTCCTTGTGCTGATACGCTAAATGCTTCGGACGCTCTGCGTTGACTGGCCGGAATTTGAGGATCTTTTGAACGCTTGCAAGATGATTCACCTCCTTTGAGGGACCTTCCTTACCACTGCTGGTTGGGTTGCCTGTATTTTCTTCAGAAGATGGCGTCTCATTACTAAGAGGTTTTGGTTGAGCTTCTGACAAGAGAAGAGGATTAACAGTGAATGGATCTACTCATATTAAAAAAAAAGACACTGCATCAGGTCAAACAACGGAGGTTTCCAGACTCTGCAGCAACGAGGCTTCCCAAAAACGAATGAGTTGACATTGATTATAGCATGACTGACAGTCAGTACAATCACAAGAAAATTATATTCACTGCTTCAATCCTACTCTTGTGAATGGATTCAATAATAGAATGGGTGTTCTATAGTGCAAAAGATGCCATCTCATATGAAATGAACATCTGAAATTTCCAGGAAACAGCAGCACCATACTCACACAGCAACAAAACCGCTTCAGGAAACTTAACAAGCCGTGAAGAAATATCTGAAAAACATAAGACGTGGGGAGGGAGGGGATTTTCAATGTTGCTTACCACTTTCAGAGAATAGATAACATGTGCCAACAGTTTCCTCGTATTCTCCAATCTGTCATTAAACAAGGCATTAACACTAGCACTAGCAAACGCAAACTTTGTAAGCAGGTTAGAGCCTGAAAAATTAAAGGTACAAATTGGCAAGTTTCAAGCTTTTTTCTCTTTTTACAAAGAAGAAAATTGTCAGCATAAGTGAAAGGATACAAATGCAGTGCAATGAAATAAGTTGCCGTCATCGGCAACGAAATAGCTAATCAGAACTTAATGCATGTTCGGTACTAAACGAACTATAAGCACTTATGGGTGCCACCACATACATCTTCTTTCCATCTTGTCCTGTTAAAGTTTTCAAAGGCGCAAGGTACAGTTAAGAACTTTTTATGAATATGTAATCGATAGTCACCAACAATTGAACTCAAACAAGTTATTCATTTGATCTTGAAGAGTGGCAATAAAAGCAGACTGGTGGTATGTAAAAAAGACTTGATCTAAAGTTTGGATCTTAGAAAATTAGATTTTTTGTTCATGAAAATGAAAAAAGAAACAGTCTTTGCAGCTAGTGAAAAAACACCGCTACAACCCACAGGCCACAACCCAAGACAAGGTACAGAGTACAGAAAACATTACCAGAACATGACTTACCATCTTCAGACCATTGCCTACTGTCAAGGTAGGCGTTAGTGTATCCAAACCCTGAAAAACATGATTCTCAGAACTTAATAACCTAACATAAAGGCGATGAACAAAAAATCTGGTGATAGCTGCAAGTCAAGATATTCAATGATCGAATGACATATAAGACATAACAAGTTAATCGCAGAGATGTCGATCCGGAGAAGAACCAACTTACAGAGAGTACAAACGGAGCACCTGGTGATATGTCTGAGTAAAGACAATCGTCCAACTCCAGCAATACATACTCCTCTTCCACTTCATCTTCCTCCTGACCAAGTTTCTTGTCTTTCTCAAGTGTTTCAGACATCTCCAATTGCAGGATCAAGAAGACTCTTCAGTCCTATTCGGCACGCAGGAGACCAGGCCGGCAACCTATGTTATTATATGCAACAACACGTCAGCACAGTGCAGAAAACACTTGTAGCCAGTCATGGGTTCTAATATCAGTATCAGCAACTCAGTAGTAACCTTCAATGTTCAGTTGTTCACAGATCAACGTGCAAACAAATTATCATTTGCGTTCCAGTGGCAGATATAGAAATAGAGCGTATTGTGTACTGATTTAGACAAATAAAAACTATAGCTGATTTTAACTTGCAATCAAACTGGATCAGACCAAAGCTAGATTGCAATCAAACAATGTATGCACCTGACACCTATCAAGGAACTTGGTAGCCGGCAGCGAACCATACCATAGAAACCTCACAATCTTGATTCTTGAGCATGATATAAAGTGAATTTAGTCATTTAATGAGGGGAAAAAGCAATGTGAGTGCATACCTAGCAAGGGCCTCGGCAAGGCGGCAGCACAACGGGGTCACGGCAAGCGGAAGCACAGCAACGTAAGGAGCGGCAGTAGACCCCGACAGGGTGATTATGAGCGGCTGCCGGTGGGTCCTCCTAGCTGCGGCAGCGACCGGCGGTACGACGGGCGGCGGTAGACCGACAGGGTGAGGGTGATGGTCAGCAGCGACCGGCGTGAGTGACGGAGGGCCGCGGTTGGGCGGCAAGGCGGCGGGGAGAACCGGAGAAGGGGTCGAGGAGGCTGCGCGCCCGTGTGGGCTTCGGCTGGCTGCGGCTAGGCGCTCGTGGGCCGAGACTGGCGAGCGCGGTGTGGGTCTGCGAGCGGTAGGCCGGTAGCCGGCAAGAAGAGGGAGAAATTTCCATATTTGACATCTGCATCCACCCCTCACTTCTTTTAACACTAATTTGCACGCATTTCAAAATTTAATTAACTCTACGAGTGCAATATTTTTCGATCAAGATATTTTCACTCTTTTTTCTCTCTCTTTTTCTAGGGCACCTAAACGGATCAAACTACCGTCCCCTGACCTAAACTATGAGACTGAATCGATTCGGTCGGCAAAATCTCTTTGGGCGCGTGGGTCATCGTGGAGTGTTAGCACTCAAAAAGGGCATTTGGGGAAGCAAGCAAGATATGAGTAAGTTCAGATGAATCACTTTAGTTGTGGGGGGAATTTGATCCATACAAGTTTGTCTTTTTTCAAATTCACACACTTATATAGGCGTCGCGCTGGCGTCAACTAGTTGCCTAGTTCGATAGTTCCATTGTAGGTCGATATAGTTGTTGTTGGGCCAGCGCCCACAGGTTCTCGGTCTTGGACTTGTGTGTAAACCCAAGAAGATGTAGGAGCAACCTTCCTGACATTCCCCTCCCCTAAAGCACCTATTAACACTGACGTCGCTTGAAAGGTTGACAATTACGAATGAGGAGGATACTGAAGATTTAAATGATACCAAAGATTCAAAGGATTCGGTTTTTCTAGGGTAATAACTTCCAAGTTTCAAAAGTCAACTAAAGAGGTTTATTTTTTCAAGATAATAGACTCATAGTTTAAGAAAGGAATACATATATATGAAAATAAGAGCTGTTGTTCCTAAAATCGTACAGAATGTAGAAAAAAGATTCTAAAATGTAAAAAGGTACCCACGGTAACAGTAGCGGGCCTAGGATTTGAATCCAAAGTATGCCTAACAAAAAATGTCTCGCATTTTATATGGTATATATAAGCCAATACACAATTTGAATCCAGTGAGAGCCGAGCGCAAGTAGCGAGGATCAGCCGAGCGAAGAGATGATCTAGAGACAAGTACTTAACTATGTTGAAATTTTTTAGTTTAGACCTTCAAAATCTAACCAGTACTAATAATTTGGTCCAAAATCTAGGGTAGGCATGGGCCTACATGGCCTAAGGCTGAGTCCACCCCTATACGGTAATGTCAAAATTGCAAAGTTTGATAGTTAGAAGAGTCTAAAAATCTAGTTATCTAAACGAGGGAGGCAAATACTAAGTAGTGTCTTGGGGACAAAGCTGGGATAAGAGAAAATCAAGACAAAAAGAATTCAAAAATCAATTCAGCATCTTTTCTCTAGTATAACATCTGCATTTCTAGTTTTTCTTGCTCCACAACCGAGCGTTTTTTTGTTTAAAATATATGTCGTTTTAGTTATATCCTAAGTAAACCATTTAACATTTGACCAAGTTTTCTTATAAGAAATATATTAATATTGACAATACCAAATAAAGCACTATTAAGACAATATTTTATGGTGGATTCAATAAAACTAATTGGACATGATAGATGTTGGCATATATTTTCTATAGATCTTGTAATGCTATAAAAGTTTGATTTACAGCAAAACTAAAACAACATGTATTTTAAAGTGAGGGAGAAGTAACGTGGATGTGTTGTGTCCGCTTCTGGACCACCCAGTCTATTCACGGGCAATGCACACCCCGTGAGGCCGGCCGTGACGGCTCCATCTGTCCATAAAATATGTAACTATGGATTATTGTGTCAGATAAAGTTGTTGATCAGGTTTTTAGTGAATAATATTCATATTTACGACTCTAAATTAATTTATTATAAAAATATAACTCATATTTGATCTAGTGATATTTATTTGATGTTATAAATATTTATAATTTTTTATCTATAATTGGTCAAACATGATATACTAAAACATAGTATTGTGCTAGAATTGCATATTTTTCTGGACGGAAGAAGTACTTTGGATTGGTTTCACCACCCCTACCTTTGCGTGTAGAACATGGGATCGGAGACTAACACTCTGGAGATCCGGCAAATCGCATGAGAGCAAGGCTAATAACATAGAAGGATTTTTACAGTCTTCTCTCAGCTCACTCATATAGTAGCTAGCTCTTCACTATTAGTATATGGCTCACTTGTTTCTTACAAAGTTTCTCGGTTCTTGTGTCTAAACCTGCTTCTCTTCTCTTCTCTCCTCTCCTCTCGTTGCTCGTCCACCTCAGTATTCAGCCGGTCTGCTATTATACTTGGTCTGATCGCTCTCGCTCCGCGCTAACTGGAGCAGTGTGCTGTAATAAGCCTTCTAAACTCAGCTCTCCTAGCACTAGCACCAGTGCCACCCAGTCCAGAAAACACAACGGCCAGCCCTAGCCCATGAGCCCACGAGGTTACAAAACCCACAACCAGCGTCACCGCGATCCCACTCCAGTCGTCCAGTATCGCTGTCGCCCACCAGTCCACCACCACGTGACCGGGTATCTGGGTCTGGGATGGTAACTACACAGGCTTTCCGTTAGGGTTGGCAGGTATACACACTACACAGCACAGTGTGGAACGGCAACGGTCAAGCGAAGCGAGGTGGGCAGACCGCCGCCGCCACGGGACGTGCACGTCAACGGTCTTCCGCCAGCCCCGAGGGGCGCTTCCGTGGTGTCGCATCCCCACTATTCACTAGCTCCCGGCGCGTCCGCGGCAGCACCAGCACATGGGGTGAGGGCCCGGCGCGCGGCAAAAGGTCACGCCTGCAAATTGCGGCTTAGGCCCGTTTAGATTTCAAAAATTTTCATCCTAAAATGTCACATCGAATCTTGCGGCACATGCATGGAGTACTAAATGTAGACGAAAAAAAACTAATTGCACAGTTAGGTGAAAAATCGCGAGACAAAACTTTCGAACCTAATTAGTCCATAATTAGATACTAATTACCAAATACAAACGAAAATGTTACCGTAGCCAACAAAAAAAAAAATTAGAAACTAAACGCGCCCTTAGTAAGTGTTTAGCTATGCGTAAGCGTAAGACAATCACAACGAAGCCAAGAACAGACATCCGTAGTTGCACCGTGCCGTTGCAATAGCACAAGAGCCCGTTCCGGTTACGGCCAACTGTCAGAAACAAAGCGACACGGGCTCCACTTCCACTAGCCATGGATTCACTTGGACGTGGACCCTGCCGCACACTGCATTCCTGATTGCTGTATTTCTTTCCCCTACAGCTTTTCCGCTATAAATCTGGCCGTCTTGCCATTGGTACAGACTACAGAGCAGCTAGGTAGAGCAGCCACCAGCCAGGCGCCCAGGCCAGCCAGCCGAGAGCACCTCAGCCTTCGACTGATTAGCATTGGGGCCAGGGGCGGATCCAGGGCCCGGGCTGCCCGGGCTGCAGCCCGAGGCGAGTTCATGTAGCCCCTGTAACATATGTGGTGTTTAGCCTAAAAAACTATGATCTTAATTAGACAAAAGGAGACATAGGAAGCAAGATCAGACTGTTTTGAACGTGAATCAGCAGTTTAGCCCGGGGCGCAGCCTCGTTCTGGATCCACCCCTGATTGGGGCTTGGGATTTCTCGAAGCCATAAAAGAGCGAGCCCCAAAAAGAAGCCTACCAAGTACCACTACTCCGCCTCCGAGAGCAGCCGCAGTACCACCATTCACCCATTCAGTCCAGTCCAGTCCAGCGAGGGGAAGGAGAAGAAGCAGAAGCAGAAGGGGAGGGGGCGAGGAGCCAGAGCCGACCCAAACCTCTGAACCCCCCGGCCCGCAAATGGCTTCCTCGCATGCCCTCGCTCTCTTCCTCCTCTGCGCTCTGCTGCCCGCGCCTCCCATCTCAGTCTCAGCCGCATTGCTGTTCGGCTTCGGCGGCGGCAAGTCGGCCACGGCGGGAGGCGACATGGAGTGGCGGCCCGCCACCGCGACGTGGTACGGCGAGGCCGAGGGCGACGGCAGCGACGGTGAGCACTCTCAACTCTGCTCCTCAACTCCGTATCGCACTGGTCTTAATCTTATCCTAGCGTTTACTAGGGGGCATAGTACATTAGTCGTATAGGATACGAGCAAAATGATTTTGTGGCAGGCTGGTAGTGGTAGCAGTAAAAAAAAGAGATGAATAAATAATCCCTCCCGTTGCGACATGTTTTGGCGGGACCCCTGCGCATCCCATGAATCGCGGGAGCGAATTTCGGTGGGCCCGGGCTGGGCCCCCAGTACGCGTGTCAAGCGCCTAGGTGCCCCACCGC